TATTTCTACGACTTCAAAAACAATTTAAACGTAAGCTACAAAATAGATAAATTCGTCGATGGTATATCTCATTATCAAACTTTAGACGTTAAAAGGAAATTAATATTTTTCGTCCCAGGATACAAATCCAATATTAACAAAAAGACTGAAGAGAAAATACGACAAACATTCAGCAATCTGGATACATACCTTATCATAATAGATCATTCAACTTATACGTCTTCAAAAGGTGGTGTACGAGATAGTTACGAGAAATCTGTACATTACACTTATCATCTTGGAAGGGGATTGGGCAAGTTACTCGTAGATTTCCATACAAAAGGATTCCCTTCAAACAAAATACATTGCATCGGTCACAGCCTTGGTGCTCAAATGCTCGGCTTCACTGGAACAACGTACACGAGTTTGACAGGAGAAAAAATATGGCGTATAACAGGAATCGATCCGGCAGGACCTTGTTTCTCTAACAGCCAAATAGAAGATCAAGTTAGATCAGGTGTTGCTCAATATGTCGAAGTTTTTCATTGTAATGTCGGTGAATTAGGAACGACTAGTGTGTTAGCTGATACAGATTTCTTTATAAATAATGGGAAGAAGCAACCTGAATGTCATGAAGGTTTGATACCAGGTTATGGTGCTTCCGAAGCAGCGAAATGCAGTCACAAAGCATGTGTAAGATATTGGGCTGAAACAGTACATCATCCCGGTTGGTATTTAGCGTGGAAATGTGACACCTATAAAGATTTTGCAAAGGGGAGATGTGTCCGGAATGACGTCACAATAGCTGGGTATTCTAATCCTGGTAACGCTACGGGATTATTTTATGCTTCAACTGAGACTTATGGTGTTGTTTAGATAGAAAGTGTAAGTGTTTAAGTGTAATTATGTAAGCGAGGCTGTACGAGCGTTTGTTAAAATCATAAAAGTTGAAGATTATAAAAGAAGAATACCAAAAAATAAAATGCCTTTGTATTGTACCTCAACAGTGGTAGAGCCCGCTTTAACATTTTCGCACGAATTTGCCCGGCTCGCTCAGTGACATACCATGACCAAACAGAAGACAGGCCTGAAGTGGAAGCAATTCCGCGTTTCTTATAAGGTAAGGATGGGAAGTGGAAGTGGACTTTCCGGATGAGAGGATGCATGGAAAGGGAAAATATTTTCTTTCTGTGCATCATCTCCTCCGTCGATTATAGGTAGTCAACACATATGTAATTGCGTATGTCTATGGGCAACAGTCACTTCGCTAT